AGCACCCCAGACGGGTACACGTCCAGATGGGGGTCTATTGAAAGCTTTGGGAAAAAATAGAAAATTGCCCAAAAGCACCCCAGGCGGTCTTGGCCGGATGAGGGTTTAATGAAGAGCCTTGGAAAAAATCGGCAAATTGCTCAAAGATACCCCAAACGGTGATGTTCAGATGGGGGTCTCTTGAGCAAGCTTTGGAAAAATTTGAAAAAGCTTGGAAAATTTGATTAAATTGCCTAAAAGCACCCCAGGCGGTGCTACCCGGATGGGGGTCTATTGGGAGCTTTGGAGAAAGAGGAAGTTTCCAAGGGTACCCCAGGCGGTTTACACTAACCAGATGGGGGAAAGCTAAAGACTACAACTGGCTAGTTACCCCAGACGGTATGACACCGGATGGGGGTGTTTCAAATAGAATCAAAAGCTATAGCCGGATGAGTAGACAAAATAAATAAAGGAAAAGGCTTCAAATTACCTCAGACGGTGATGAGGAGACGTTCTGAAAGAATGTCGGTTGCCTCAGACGTTTGAAAAGAAGAAATGAAGCCGGTTGAGAAGAAAGAGGAAAGACGGTTGTATATTAACGCAGCCGGAGTCAGAGCTCTCTTTTCTCAAGTTTTTTTGGAATTTTGCAAATGTTGCAAATGATTGGGGATGGCGTAGATGAACCGTCATCCCCCTTAGTTTCAAGTTCAAAATTTGAACAGAAACGAAATGGAGGGAAGGAGACCAACCGTCCCCTTCCCAGATCGTGACAACTGTCACCTAGGGTGACGTGGCAGGCCATGTCACAGATGCCGCGTGGCAAGCCACGTGTCATCTGTGAGGGGCAAATGTTCAGGGTAAAAATACCCTAGCCACGTGGCCCAATCAAGCGCTGACACGTGTCAGTCCCGGAAAGGCCCAGTGGAATCCAATCCTAGGCTGACACGTGGCACGCTACCATTTGGCAGGGAAACTGATCCCTTGCACTATAAATAAGAGGAATAATCCTCATTTATGGGGCATTCACAAATTCCCAAACACAAAAAACACAAAAAAACACAAAAACCAAACTGCATTTACTCTCTCTGAATCAGAGAGAAATCTTTACTTTCCGCACTATTCACTTCGTACGCGTTCTAACTAGATCGTCGGAGGTGGAACTCCACCCAACCGGAGTTTCGTTGTTTTGCAGGTACAGCCGGTCAGCAAGCTCAGTCTCGGAATTGTAACTCTCCCGTAGGACACAGAAAAAACCCCGAAACAGATCTGATCTGAACTTATTTTTTCTTATCTAATCTGATCTGAACTTATTTTTTCTTATCTGATCTGAGCTTATTTTTTCTGAAATAAGTAAAAATAAGGTGAATTAAACAAGGCCTAAGTGGGGTTGGTAGAAGATAGATTTAATAAAATAGTAGTTAGTTCTTACCAATTAAGGAAGTGTTGCAATTATAATGAAACGAATGAAAAAGAAAGTGTTGCAATTATTACGAAATGTATAGATTTTAAACACTTCCTCCATTTTTCTATTATTCGCAACACTTTTTCATTTTAAGCACAACTATAAGTCAATTAACTTTTATTCATTCCCCAATAAATGCTCAATGATCTCCTTGAAATAGTAATATCTCTGTTATTTACATATTCCTTTTGTTTTCTACTACAATGCTTTTTCCAATGTGGCTGGTCATACCGTGTGCCCGGGGTTACTTATACAGGTTATTTATTCAGGAGTTCCTTATAGTAATATCTCAGTCGGTTAACGCGTTTTCAGTGATCGACTGAGTAACTCTTGAATAAGTAACTCTTGAATAACTAACCCCTAACCAAACGAGTAACCCTTGAATAAGTAACTCTTATTAGTAACCTCGACCACAGCCACATATAAACATTTGTGTTTCTTTTATTCTTTCCTTGTCGAATCTTTAGTGATTATAAGATCTAGTGCCTTAACGATATTTCTATACTTCAAATTATAGTAATCTAATCTTGTTATATTTGTCATGATTTTTAATTTTTAGATAAGAAATTTATAGAATTTATTTTTTTTTGTAATATGTACAGTAGTTTAACTTAAGATATTCATATTACAATATTAAACCCTATTCACTTCAGTTTAAGAAAATAATATTCAGTAAAAATAATATCAGTGCAATAAAAATAATTTCAATTAAGTAAAAATAAGTTCACTTAAGCAAAAATAATTTCAGTTTAGTAAAAATCAATAACTTCAAAGAAAAAAATATAATAGGAAATCAATAAAAATAATTCCAGTTCAAAAAAATAATTTGAGTTCTGTAAAAATGATTTAAGTCAGCAAAATTAATTAATTTCATTTCAGTAAAAATAATTTCTTTTCAGCAAAAATAAGGTGAAGTGAACAGGGCCTTACATTGGAAAACATGAAGATATCAATTGGGATAAACATTTTGAAACAGACTATTGAGTAAAAATTATTATGAAAATGTCCTAAGCAATTACCCTTAAATTTTTTTGGCTATAACAAAATTGGATAAGCGGAGATTTTTTAGGTAGTTTTTTTTATTTTTTATTTTTGTATTTTTTATTTGAGATCCTATATATAAAGTGAAAGCACCATTTTGGTGATAAATTTTACTATACCCAAATTACCCCTATCAAGGTGAAAAATTACCTCTCTTATTCACAATTGTTCTATCATAATTGTCTTATCATAACAACTCCCTTTCTTTCACATAAATTTATCTTTTCAAATGTGCTCACTCCCCATAAAAGAAGAAACTGCTCTTGATTTTTTTTTTAAACTCTTCCTAATTTTGCTCATTTACTCCCTCCGTCCCAAATTACTCGCAACGTTTTGACTTTTGACTTTTGACTATTCACATTTCTCACTTTGACTACCTTTTTTAGCTATTATATGAAAACCAATGTAATCATGTAAGATGTTGTTAAGTCTATTATAATGTATAGTCTTTTAATATAAACTTATTTTAACTTTTATAAATATATAATAAAGATGTTGACAGTCAAACATGTGCATCGGCAAGCGTGTCTAGTCAAAATGTTGCAAGAAAATTGGAACAGAGGGAGTATGTATTTTTTTGTTCTTATTTCATTATCATCATTTTATTAAATATTTCATCTATATTCTCAGTTTCACAAATCTTAAAACACATGCCTAGTGATTTTAGGTTAATGGTGGGCCACAACAAGAAATAGGCCAAATTCCGACGGACGTATATTCCGTCGGAAAATTCGACATTTCCGACGGAATTACGACCTGTCGGAAAATTCCGTCGGCAAAAGGAAATTTTCGTCGGAAAATCCCTCGGAAATTTTCCGACGGAATTTATTCCCTCGGAAATTACAGCTTCCGACGGACATTTCCGTCGGAAGCTGTGAATAAAACAGGAAAAACAAAAACAAAAATTATTAAAGGATTTTCCGACGGAAAATTCCGTCGGAAATTCCCTCGAAAAATCGTTTAATAATTTTTTAAAGGAATTTTTTTTTATAAATAAAATAGAGTTTCCGACGAAATATTCCGTCGGAAACATTATTTTTATAAAAACCGAACCCTATCTCCTTTTTCCCTTTCTCCGCCTCTTTCTCACTGCCTTCTCTCCTTTTTCCCTTTCTCCGCCTTTTTCTCCTTTTTCCCCTTCTCTCTCTCTCCTCTTTCCCCTCTTTCTCCTGTTTCCTCCTCTCCTTCCTTCCTCCTTCCCTCTCCTTCCTTCCTCCTTCCTCTCCTCCTTCCTCTCCTTCGACGACCTCAACAACAACGAAGGCAACAACATCAACAACCATAACAACATTAACAACAACGCAACAACATCAACACGCAACAACATCAACAACGCAACAACAACAACAACGCAACAACATCAACAACAACATCAACAACGCAACAACAACAACAACATTTGTAATTTTTGTAAATTTTTGTAATTGTTGGATTGATTTTCTGATTTTTTGTTGATTTCCTTAATTTTTTAATTTTTGTTGAATTTTTGTTTAATTTGTTGATGGATTGATTTTCTGATTTTTTTGTTGATTTTGTTTATTTTGTTGATTTTGTTGATTTTGTTTAATTTTTTGTTTAATTTTAATTTTGATTTTTGTTGGGTAAGGGGGTGGCTGGGTGGGTCGTGTTGGTGGTGGGGTTGGGTGGCCTGGGTCTGGTCAGGGGTTGGGTGGGGGGCGTTTGGTCAGGGGTTGGCTGGGTGGTGGGCGTTTGGGTAAGGGTGGGTGGTGCGGTGGGTGGGTGTCTGGGTGGGGCTGGGTGGGTGGTGGGTGTGGGTGTCTGGGTGGGTCGTGTTGGTGGTGGGGTTGGGTGGCCTGGGTCTGGTCAGGGGTTGGGTGGGGGGCGTTTGGTCAGGGGTTGGCTGGGTGGTGGGCGTTTGGGTAAGGGTGGGTGGTGCGGTGGGTGGGTGTCTGGGTGGGGCTGGGTGGGTGGTGGGTGTGGGTGTCTGGGTGGGGCTGGGTGGGTGGGGCTGGGTGTCTGGGTGGCTACTGGGTGGGTGGGGGCTGGGTGGCTACTGGGTGGGTGGGGCTGGGTGGTGTCTGGGTGGGTGGGGCTGGGTGGGGCTTTTTTTTTAATAAATTTTCCGACGGAATTTTCCGACGGACTATATCTTTGAAAGTCAGATCCTGCTATGACGGAAAGCATTCCGTCGGGAATCCGTCGGAATCGTCATTTCCGTCGGAAACTACCTTTTTTCCGACGACAGGTTTTCCGACTGACATTTTCCGACGGATTTCCGACGGAATTTCACAATTTTCCGACGGAAATTTTCCGTCGGAAATGAGCTGAATTCTAGTAGTGGGCGTCGGTTAATATATTTTTTTTTCTAATTTTTGAAAATAAGTAAACTTTATAATTGATAAAATAAATCTATTTGTTTTTAATTTTGATGAGAATGAGCTAATGAAGGCTTCAAAAAGAGGTCCTTGAATTGCCTTGTTTTCCTTGAATATTGTCCTTGAATTATTGTCCTTGAATTGCCTTGTTTTCCTCTTCTTTCTTTGTCACAAATGTGTAAATGGCAGAAGCAATCATATTGCCGATCGCTAAATCCATACTTGGTAAGATCGGTTCCTTTACCGGTGATTTGGTCATTTCCTCTGTTTCCGAAGAATTAAAAGCGGCCAAGTCAGCTGAGAAAGATCTTAAGAAGATAGCTGATAAGCTCACTGCCATTTGTGCTGTCCTCCATGATGCTGAAGAAAAGAAATATTCGAACGAAGCCATGAAAGTTTGGCTAAGAGATCTGAAGCGTGTTGTTTATGATATTGATGATCTCTTGGATGAAGTCGCCTTTGACGCTTTACAGCGCCGTGTCAATGAAGGTCGTTTTCGGCGCAAGCTTAGGTACTATCTTTCCTCCTCAAACCCCATCATTTATACTTTTCATGTAAGTCACAAAATACGAGATCTCTGTAAGCAGCTTGAACACATTGTGGCTAAGAAAAATGATTTTGGTTTGACTGAGAGTCCAATTGAGTACTCAACTGCTGACATCAGGATTTGGGATAGAAGCTCATATGTCCATGTACCTGATGTTATGGGAAGAGAAGAGGCTAAGCAAGATGTTATAAGGAGATTGGGAAGAGTCAATGGTGTTAGTGAGCTCTCAGTGCTTCCTATTGTTGGGATGGGTGGGATAGGAAAAACTACATTAGCCAAGTTGGTGTATCAGGATGTCCAACACTTTGATCTAAAGTTGTGGGTATGTGTTTCGGACCCGTTTCGCATACCTAAGATCATAGAGGACATTCTGAAGGATGGTACTGAAGACAGTACTCCTAACCAAGAAATGTGTATATTGGTGAGAAAGCTCCATGGTTTGTTGAGTGGGAAGAAGTACTTGCTAGTGTTGGATGATGTCTGGGTTGAGGAATTCGGAAAGTGGAAAGAGCTAAAGGACGTGCTAGCTGTTGGTAATCCGGGGAGTGTACTTTTGATCACTACAAGAAACTCCAAGGTTGCTTCTATCACTCAAACATTTGAATCATATGACTTGGATAGTCTTCCAATTGATGTTTGTTGGTCAATGTTCAAGCACTTGGCATTCAAGGACGAAGTTGAGGAAGCCAAATATCCGAATCTTTGTGAAACTGGCAGGTCTATTGTTAAAAAATGCCATGGCATCCCACTCGTTGTGAAGACTTTGGCGAGTTTATTAAGAAGTCCGAGGGAAGAACAAGAATGGCAACGAATTAATGATATGGAAAGTTTAACTGAATTGGAGCGACAATATGGTGATGTCTTACCACTATTAAAATTAAGTTATGATAAATTACCATCTCACTTAAAACCATGTTTTGCTCACTTGTCCTTGTACCTGAAAGATGTTGAATTAATTTCTTTTGATGTTTCATATATGTGGAGCGCACTTGGATTGTTGCCACTGGATAAGAGAAATAATGATATTGATGGCTTGGGATACTCTTACTTTAGGGAACTGACAACAATGTTCTTGGTTGAAGAATCAAGTAAACATCTGGTGGGTATAGCTTGCGTTAGTAAAATGCACGATTTTTTGCATGATCTAGCAGTGAACATTATGGCAGAAGAGTTAGTTGTTGTAACTTTGGATAAGATGACAGATTTAGACCATGCTAGGCATGTTGTTTGGGGAGCTGAGAAAGCTGATAGTTTAAAAGAAAAACAATTTCCAACAGAGCTTCTCGGAGCAAAGAGAGCCCGTTCGTTTCAATTTGGTTATGCCTATAACCGACATGTAAGCATGTCCTTTCTAGAGGGTATTATATCCAATCTCAGCTGCTTACGCCTCTTGGATCTTAGGAGTCTTTGGTTTGAAGAGTTGCCAAAGTCGATTGGGAACCTGAAGCATTTGAGATATCTTGACTTGTCAGATAATCCCATCATGAAATCACTTCCAAATACAATATGTAATCTATTGAATTTGGAAACATTTCGTATCTATGGATGTAAGCAATTAAAAGAGCTACCAAGGGATATACATCAATTGCAAAGCTTAAAGTTTTTCATTGTGACAACATGTCAAGAGAGCTTAGTTAACACCAAACTCAATGAATTAAGCTCTCTACAATCCTTACATTTTAATTCATGTGAGAGTTTGATCTCGTTGTGGGACAGTGATAATATTTGGCTCCTTAACTCCCTCAAAATCCTGTACATCGTTAACTGTCCAAAATTGACAAGTCTTATAAAAGATATGAAGTACCTTGTTAACCTTCAGGTATTAGAAATAAGAAATTGTGAAGAGTTAGATATGAACAAGGGAGAGGCCCTTCAAGGCCTTCAAAGCCTCCTACGTTTGGTGATCCAGAATGTAAAAATGGCAAGCCTTCCAAATGACATACAATCTGCTGCAACTTCTCTTCAATATCTTTTTTTTTTAGATTGTGAAGGTTTAGTGGAGCTTCCAGATTGGTTACATTGTTTCACCTCTCTCGGGGTTATTCATATAAGAGATTGTCCAAATGTGTTGGGTTTGCCCAAATGCATTAGCCAGATCAACTCTCTAAAAAGAGTCACAATTCTGAAATGCCCAAACCTATCAATAAGATGCGCTGTACCAGATGGAGAAGACTACCCTCTCATACGACACATTCCCGAATTCGTTCTTGATGGCGTCACATTTACTGCAAATCAAAGCCACTGAAAAAGGTCTCATTTTCTATACTCACCAATATTCATTTTATATTTCTATATATTTTATTGTCTTATCTTTATCTTTGGGTAGTCTTTGAATTCCTCAAAGTGCATTTTTTTTTTTTTTTTTTTTTTTTTTTGACATAATAATATCTATTACACACCTACATATAACTAACTAAGGAAAACATGGAAGAATTACAAATTAATGATATTTTATTAGTTCTAAGTGTACACTGTAATTATTATGTATTTATGTGTTGATGATATTTTTGCAATTGTTTGTTATACAGATTTTAAGACCACCGTTTTTCAATCCGGCTGTTGGAGCAAATTTCTGGTAGTATTTGAATACTCAAGGGTGTATATTTGTTTAAGTCGTTTTTCTGTATAATATAATGGTTGATGCTATGGTATTTATCCTTTTTTTGCTTTGTAGGAGTTACATGGTTTTACCTTACTATTAAAGTAAGGGTTTTACATGTAACAAACGATTTATTTTTGTTGTTCTGGGTTTACTTTGATTATATGTTGTTCTGGGTTTACTTTGATTAACATTCGAGTAATGGTGTTTAAGTTGGTATGTGAAACAAGATTGTATTTGCTTACAAATAAACATAAGAACGCATGCATACTAGTGGCCGTGTTTGGTAGGCTATTGTCTCAGCGGATAGCATCGATTTTACACAAGCAATAGAGCCAAGCAATTAATCAACAATTTGACATATCTACTCGCAGATACTGCTTTGCCCTGCATCAAGCTGATCTGCCTTTCAGACTCTGAATCAGGAAAACAGAAGCATGGGACTATGGGTGCAGTCTGATTCATAGAATATAGCACAACACTACAACAGAACAGCAGTTGGAAATCAATCACTTGAGAGAAACGACTGTTCAAATTGCAGTTTAACTAATGTGGAAGCAAACGATATAAAATATATAACAATTGTAGCTAACGAAGATTAAGTATATCTTATCGGTGCAGCGGCTGTAATTTTTTTGGCATTCACATTCAATAAACAAGCAACAATGCAACATAAAACTAAGCATATTCCTTGATTGAGTATAACTTTAGTAGTGTCTTAATACTAACCAACAATAAAATGAAATAGATATAAGACCTTATTACAAGATGTTACAATCCTCAATGTCACTGCTGATCATCAAATGACAGTTTTTCTTACTCTTCAATCACATCAAAATGATTTCGAGATGCTTCAGAGTTTTCAGGAAGATAGACAGCTAGTGATGCACCCAACTTCATATGGTTTGTAGGGATCCTTTATGTTCAGTGACGGATCTTGAAAATAACTACAGAGTCAAATGTTTTGTCTCTCTTTTATGGTTTTAAAGTTCAAAACAGGGATGTTGTGTATATCATCCAAAGCAATGAGATCGGTAGCTACTCCTCTAGGAACTAGTCAAGACTTCCTAACCTGATTTTCAAAATTACAAAAATCCAATGGTCGTTTCTAAGAAAACCTAGTTCTTTGAACCAAGACTTGAATCTGTTAACAAAAAAAGATAAGAATTACCAACTTGTATACCACTGGAGCATTAGATAGGTATTTTCCAACTTTGCTCATGGGTAGCACTTTGGTGTAATTATAATCAATAATTAAGGTAACTATACATTCAATCATGATTAGGACTATCGTTTATTATATTCTAAGTGACAAATAATTGAGCATTATAAAATACAAGATAAAGGAACTGCAAGAGAACACGAAAGCACTATACATTTAATCATGATTAGGACTATAAAATATCTAAAGAGAACACGAAAGCACTAATCTAGTTTTATGTGCCACTATAAGATAATTTAATCTAATCATAAGCCTAATAGTGCTAAACCTTACACACAAAAGCCTAATTATTTAAGATAGAAGAAATCCAGTCTACACATTCCATCTAGAAAGTTATAGGTAGGTACACCATACACCCATTCCCAAAATAGGCAAGTGATGAGCATTTAAAAAAAAAACGAGCAAAAAAGGTAATCCCAATTAGAAACAAAAAAAGCAATACAAAACTAACAATGCACAATTATCAACTCTAGATTGCAATAAACAAAATTTTTATCACCCAAAAGCATGTCCTACGCAAGTTGTGCATACGCCGCTTGTCAAGGTAAGTTTATATAATGTGAAGGGCTGGAGGCTGTCCATATTCATATAGCTACAATTCCAGCCTAAGAACCGACTCAAAATGGCACACCAAATTTACAATCAAAATGATCAACAAAAAAGCCTCAAACATCCTTCAGTTGCAGTAGTCATGGTACCATTCCCAATGCAAGGCCATCTCAATGAAACTCTCCATCTATCCAACCTCATAGCCTCATATGGTATACCAGTTCATTTTATTGGATCCACAACACACAATCACCAAGCAAAACTGCGCCTCCACGGTTGGGACCCTGAAAATACAAGCAAAATTCACTTTCATGACTTGCAGCTCCCTCCTTTAATCTCAGTTCCTCCCAAATTCGATCCCCACACCACATTCCCTGGGCATCTCCAACCACTTTTTGATGCTTCCTCTCATCTCCGTCAACCTGCATTCCAACTTCTACAAGAGCTCTCAATTAAGTTCAGGAGAATCATCATTATTCATGATACCTTAATTGCTACAGTTGTTCAAGATGTGAAATTAATCCCAAATGCTGAGTCATATGCCCTCCATAGTGTCTCTGCCTTCGCCATCTTTTTCTACATTTGGGAGTCGATAACTAACAAACCATTTCAGCTAGATTCTGATATCCCAAATAACATTCCCTCGAGTGAAGGGTGCTTTGCACCAGAGTTTGCAGACTATGCAGCAAAGCAATACAAAGTATTGAACTTTGAGAGTGGAAGAATCTACAACACATGCAGACCAATCGAAGGTAGATATATGGACTTACTGGAAAAGCTACCCACAAATGCTAACAAGAAGCTTTTTGCGATCGGACCTTTAAATCCAGTAGAAGTGAAGGGTAGATGCACTTACAACCGACATCAATGTCTCGAGTGGCTGGACAAACAAGAGAAGGATTCTGTAATATACATTTCTTTCGGAACATCAACATCAATGTCAGAGGAGCAGATTAGTGAGTTGGCAGTTGGGTTGGAAAGAAGTAGGCAAAAGTTTTTATGGGTTGTTAGAAGTGCTGATGGAGTAGAACTTTCTGCAGAAGCTGATGTGAAAAGGCCTCAACTACCAGAAGGTTATGAAAGCAGAATACAGGACAGGGGAATGGTGGTGAGAGACTGGGCACCTCAGCTTGAAGTTCTAGCGCACCCATCAACAGGAGGATTCATGAGTCACTGTGGCTGGAACTCATGCATGGAGAGCATCAGCATGGGAGTGCCAATTGCAGCATGGCCAATGCATTCTGATCAGCCAAGGAACACAATTTTGGTAACACAAGTACTAAAATTTGGTATAGAAGTCAGAGATTGGGCACAAAGAAATGAGCTTGTAACATCAACTACAATAGAAAATGCAGTGAGAAGATTAATGATATCAAAGGAAGGTGAGGAGATGAGGAAACAAGCTGCAGAGCTCAGAGGCATTGTTCGAGGATCAACTTCTACAGGTGGATCTTCTCACCTAGAAATGGATTCTTTCATCGATCACATAACCAGATAATGATGTAAAAAAGAGGATACAGCCTAAGAAAATCTTGGATAGCTGGAAACATAACTGAAAGTATGATCGCGGGCAACTCAATCAGTGATATGTACTGAAATAATACATGAACTTTGCCTAGCTAGGATCTTGACTTACTGATGTATAAGTTTGTATGATACAAAAACAAGTAATCATTAGTCTCAGGTATGATTTCAATCTTGAAATTTAAAGAGATGTGAGTACTAAGAATTGACCAAAAAGCCTTTCTGCTATTACAATTACAAAGCAACCTGCAACAACCTTCTGAGTCTCCCTTGGGATGACACGAAATCTATTCAGTTAATTCTCTATTAAGAAATAGATCACAAGCCTAATTTTTTATTTTGATCACTTTCCTAGTATGAACTCCCTTGCTAGTTCTGGTGATTAAGATTGCCTGTACTAAGATATATACTAGAGAAAGTCTATAGACAATGATGATCCCTACCATAATTTGATATGATGAAAAGCAATTATATGCAGCACTATCATATAAATTCTGTTTATGTATGTAAATACTTGTTAACTTGGTTCCAAGTTACCATACTTCTGTCGTTCTAAGTTGCATTTGAATGGTCAAATCAATCACAACGGAAACAAAACACAATCCAAATCGAAAGCATGAAGAATTCATCCTCCACAAGTCAGAAAGTTTGGCTGCCCTTTCTACAGAGCTAACAAGTGTATTTCAATATATCATTCCAGGAATACCCAATCTATTTGTTATACCCTCAATAGTCAATATTTTTCCCCCTATATCTTTAAGGTTTTAATGCCTATCAAGATCCATCCAAAGACATCCTGAAATTTATGCAAAATGAAAAGACAAAAATACTGTCAAAATGGCCTTAAACAACCTCAAATAGTTGTGGTGATGGTTCCCTTCCCAGCCCATGGCCATATCAATCAGCTCCTCCACCTCTCTCGTCTTATAGCCTCCTATGGCATACCGGTTCACTTTGCTGGATCAACTGTGCACAATCGCCAAGCGAAGCTCCGTGTCCATGGTTGGGACTTGGAAAGTTCAGGTAACATCTATTTCCATGACTTCCAACTTCCTACTCTCGGCTCATTTTCCCCTAACACCAATGCCTGGATTAAATTTCCAGAGCATCTCCAACCACTTTCTGATGCTTCTTCACATCTCCGTCAACCTGTGTTTCAACTTTTACAAGAACTTTCATCTAATTTTAGGAGAATTGTTATCATTCATGATAACCTGATGGCCTCAGTAGTGCAAGACGTAAAATTGATCCCAAATGCAGAATCTTATACTTTTCTATCAGTATCTGCCTTTACCATCTTCTTTAATAAATGGGAGTCCATTATAGAAAAACCTTTTGAATTAGATTCTGATGTTCCAAGATACATCCCTTCTAGAGAAGGGAGCTTCACACCAGAGTTTGAGAAATTTATAATAAATCAACACAAGCTTTTGGAATTTGAATCTGGAAGACTTTTTAATACATGCAGATTGATAGAAGGTAGATACATGGAACTATTGTCAAAACTATCAACGAATGTTAACAAGAAACTGTTTTCTATAGGACCTTTCAATCCGGTGGAAGCAAAAGGAAAAACGAACACTTGTAGGCCTGGATGCCTTGAGTGGCTAGACAAACAGGAGATAGAATCTGTGGTATATGTTTCTTTTGGAACAGTAACATCTATGGATGACGAGCAGGTCAAAGAGTTGGCAATAGGATTGGAAAGAAGTGGGCAAAAGTTTATATGGGTTCTTAGAGATGCTGATAAAGGCGATTTATTTGAAGAAGATGAGGCAAAAACTCTTCAGCTGCCAGAAGGATATGAAGAAAGAGTGATAAATAGGGGAATTATTGTGAGAGGCTGGGCACCTCAGCTTGAGATTCTAGCCCATCCAGCAACGGGTGGATTCCTGAGTCACTGTGGGTGGAACTCATGCTTGGAGAGCATCACCATGGGAGTGCCAATAGCAGCATGGCCTATGCATTCTGACCAACCCAAAAACAGCATTTTGATAACACAAGTCCTACGGATTGGTTTGTTAATCAGGGCTTGGGAACACAGAGCTGAGCTGGTAACATCAACTGCAGTTGAGAACACAGTAAGAAAATTGATGAAATCGGAAGAAGGAAAAGTGATGAGGGAAAGGGCAGCAGAACTAGGCAGAGCTGTTCGAGCCTCAGTAGCAGATGATGGAAGTTCTCACTTGGAAATGGATTCTTTCATTGCTCATATTAGCAGATGAAATTTTTTTTCACAGCTCAAAGGCACAAGTAGGGTAAGCAGCCTATAAGCATTGTTTCTTTCTGTATTATGGTCTTGTTGTGTATTGAACACTGGTCACATTAATGCACCAAAGGCCCAGAGCATAAGTTGCATATTCATCTTGCACAAAACTGCAATTGTACTACTGGCATATTCAAGTCTAAGAAGGTCTAATAGGATTAAAAGAGCCTAATTGACATAGACTTCAAATGACCAGAAAATAGGTCAGAAACAACACTAAAAATATTCTTTGTATTTTACAACTGACACCTTTGCACATGGAATTCCCATGTGCGTGCATCCCCCACTCTGGCAAGCTGCCTAGTTCCAGTTTGCGATTGTAGGGAAGCGAACATGTCAATAGATCAATAAGAATTTACTTATGTTTCCACAAAGTTAACAACCCAACAACATCATTCTTTCAGGAATAGAAATCACAAAATAAAACTTCAAAAACAATTATGGTAAATAACGTGAGTAGAGAGCTTACTTATCTTTCTGCTACAATTTGTTACTCAGACTTACCTACCAAATGTAGAGCACTGAAACATGTCCAAGTGTCATACTCAACCATTCCATGAAGATGTTGCATTTTCATCTCCAATTGTCAAGGGCCCTCCATAGTCATGTCAGAGTGTCTGGTATCAGAAACAAGCAAATGATGTAACGCTTGCGCACCTGTATAAGAATAGCTACTGACTTAGATCATGAAGTATCACTAGCTGTCAATATCATCAAGAAGGGCAGGAAGCAGCAATTGTACAGCATGTTTCATCCGAGGCAATATTATAATTTGGCTTTACAGAAATGAGAGAAGTTTAGTAAAAAATGCAAACCTCCTAAACTATCATTCAAGAAAATAAAGTGCCCCGTAGGCTGTCAATTGTAGGTATCTCCACTTCTAATGAATTGAGAGAGATGCTATAAGTGAGATTCTCATATAATAATTGGTTTTTAATGGAATTTACTAAATGCCCAAAAATTAAATTACTACTTGATGTTAGATGAAGGTCAAGTAACATAATTGCGACTGGCTAAACTGCAATTTTGTCCCAAAATCGAAGATTTTAGTTGATCTTCATTCTGAGGTACAAGCAACAATTAACTATTAGAACTCTCAACAACAAAGACACGTGCTAAGCTGTTTACACCCTATTAGACATAGGAACAACTTCCTGATTCGCGTTTCCGCACCAAAACAATCACCATGTGGTCTATATCAGACAGCTTAGTAACTCCTAACTAGCACATCTTCATTACACATTATACATTGCTCAAAAACATTCTTTCACAACAAAAAATCGTCAAATTTGACAACACGGTTTATTTACTTTATTATTACTTGTATTAGTCTAAAATCTTACCTTTACCTTCGATAACTACATCAAGCATTCAAGCACAATAAATGATGGATGAATTTATACAGGAAATAACAACAAACTGCTCAAACACATCTCCGTTGCTATAATCTCAATAATTGTTCATGCAATACCATGTTATCATCGAAAAACGCCCAATTAACTTAATCTTGTCCCATTACTAAATTACTCTACAATTCAATACATAGTGAATCAGTAATTGATGTATACCTACATCATCAAATTCTTGTATGAATGATTTCTTAACAATTTCTTCAAAATTATTAATTCAGGCAGTTGAATTCTGTAATTTAATTATCTTATGAAATTCTCAAAATTATAAACTCAAACAACTCCTAGTCTCAGATTATTTTAATAATAATTGAATAAATATGGAAAACCAAATAAAATAAGAAAATCTATGAAAGTTCAAGGGATTGCAATAAATTAAAGGAGAGATTACCGGAAACTTAAAGACTTGTCATTGAAAGTTACGAAAAGTGCAGGAAATATAATAATGGCCCAAAGGACAAGGTGGTGTTATTGGACTGAGATCCGGTTAGTTTGTGTCCAGTATTTGATTTGGATCTGTCTCTAAAATATTGCCAAATTATTGCAATTTAATACTACCTTTAATTATTTTTTATTCTTTTTTACATACTACTTTTTTTTTTTTAATGGGATAGAGAGGGGTAATTTCATTAAATAACTAGGTTAGTCACGTACTCACGTGCGATGCACGATTTTAACAATAAAACATTTGCTCTTGTGTGCGCAATATAAATAATTTAAGAAAGAACATAATAAATAATGATCTCTCTTATTAGATATTAAAATGCTAAATATTCTAATTAACTTCATAATAAAAATAAAATATATGAAATGTTAGCATTATATCAATTTAGTGGTATTTGTATAATTATAAAAAAAATTGAAGAATTTATGAAGAGTAGAATATTCAAACTCATATCATCACTGATAAAATATTGTGGGAAAAAAAATGTAGTATAGAGGAGGAAAGAAGGAAAACAAAAGAGACCAACCACCAATTTTATTATTATTTTTTTTACCTCCATAGGAAATTTTGTAGTTAGTAAATTTAGTCATAAAAACTTTTAGGAAAATTAATCTACCTTTTTTAAGCATTAGCTTTATCTTGAAATGGAGAAAAAATAAATAAAAAGGATGATGTCATATATAATTTTGGAGGGAATTTTTTTAATAAGAAGCTGACACGTGGCAGTGGTGATGCCAGCGGTGATTATTTTAGTATTAGTTATAGATATTATTAATATTATTATTATTATTACGACTATTATTATAATAATAATTATTATTATTATTATTTAATTATTATTACTATTATTATTACCGCATTATTATTGTTATTATTATTATAATTATTATTATTATTAACATTATTAATATTATTATTGTTATTACTATTATTATTACCGCATTATTATTATTATTATTATTATGATTATTATGATTATTATTATTATTATCGCACTATTATGGTTGTTGTTGTTATTATTATTATTATTATTATTATTATATATTAATTATTATTATCACTAAATATTATTTATTTTTATCAATTAATATTATATATTAATTATTATTATTAAATATTAATAATTATTATTATTAAATATTAATAATTATTATTATTAAATATTAATAATTATTATTATTAAATATTAAATATTATTATTATTAATTATTATTTTTAAGCAGGGCAGAACAGATTTCATCGTAGCAGAGCAGAACAACTCAAAAGAACAGGGCCTAGAGTGTAAACTATTGTAAGATTATTTGAGAATTCTTTGATCTTTAATCTTATAAAGTATTGTTATTTCACCCAATGCCACTAAACAATTGCAAAATTCACATAATGCCATAGCGTTTTTCAGAATTCACCAATGCCACTGAGCTTTAGTATAATATTACCAAATGTCATTCCTGTTAGTTGACCGTCACTGTTCATTAATTGACCCCACCACTTGCCACATGTCACCTTCTGATTGGTCGGTTTTTTAAAAAATAATAAAAATTAAAAAAAACCAAAAATAATTAAAAAAACTAATAATTTTAAAAAAAATTAAAAAAAAAAAAGAAAACCGAAAATCCCAAACCTCAGCCACCAGCCATGCCGCCGGTCCCCGAACCCCTGCTGCCGGGACCTGCACCGGCAGGAGCGCCGACAACCTCCGGCCCCCCTCCCTTTCCCCTCCTCTTCCCCCGTCGCGACCCACCGGAGCTTTAAACACAAAATCCGAAATCCCACCCCCCTTCCTCCACCACCCCGAAACCCCACCCCCTTCGTTCCTCTCGACTTCGCGCCAGCAAAACCACCACCATTGCTCTACTCCTCCGCCTTTTCCTCCTCCTTCCACGATGTTTTGCTTCAAGGTATTCCTTTTGCTCTCCTCTAATGGTCAAATTTTTGTGAAGAACCCTAAAAAAATTGAATTAGGGGTTTTTGTTTGGTGAAGCAATTCACAAAATTGTTTGCTCCAATCGATTGTATACTGAACTGTGAACATTTTGGTACAAGTTGAATAAAATTTGGTGAAGAAATGAGTAATTTACATGTTCCTCAATCTTTCATGCGTGAGCTTCAATGGCGTTTTTGTGCGTTTGGGAAGTGGAGGGGAAGGGGAGGGGGGCCGCCGGCGCGCCTGCCAGTGAAGGTGCAGGTCGCCGGCGGCAAGGGTTTTGGGGTTCAGCAGGGAGGGGGTGGTGGAAGGGGTGGTGGCTGGGGTTTGGGTGGTTTCAAGAGTTTTCTGTTTTTTTTTTAAAAAACTGACCAATCAGAAGGTGACACGTGGCAAGTGGTGGGGTCAACTAACGGAAAGTGACAGTCAACTAAGGGAAATGCATGGGATGTTTGCCTATAAATATTCTTTATTTTCATTAATGAAGGGAGAGAAGTTTTGAGTTATAATTAATCAATTCGTATGAATTGTTTTAGCAAGAGAATTGCATATGATATTTTGCTGAGAAAGCTACCAATTTAGTTGTTATTTAGTCTTGGTTAGATTAAATAGCTTCATATCCCCGAATTTCCTGAAGAGCCCATAAAAATACGCATCAAATTGGTGTGGCTGCTGCTACTGCTGTTAGGCGAGGGAAACTGTGCACTTCTTGAAGTTTCGTGCACAATTTTGTTGAAATCGGGCCTAATAAAACTCAGTTTTGTAGGTCAGATTGTTTGGCTTTGTTCTCCTTCGTTTCTAAGGATTTTGAGGTGATTCTTTTTTTCAAATTAGTTAACTTTTGGTCTATTTTTCACCTGTAAAATTTGAGAATTTTTCAAGGAGCGTAGATATTAAACTGGATTCGTTTTTGGCAACTGGTCAAAAATCGAGCTAAATCTGGCAGTGTTGAGAAAAACATAAACTGCAACCACTTGGCTTGGAATTTTTGGCTTATTTTTTGGTCGAGTATTGTAGACATATAGGGCTAGCATCATACAAAATTTCAGAATTTTTTGAGGTGTTTTGATTGGATTTTTGTCCTCAAACTTTCGATCAATTTCTGGACTGGTTTTGTGTGTTTTCTTATTCACTTAAACATGGTGAATCAAGCTGAATTTGCGGCATTGTTGGATGAGCTCAAGAAAATTAATGCTCGATTGGATAAGTCGGAAGAAGTTACTGCGACACTCCAGCAAGAACTACATAACCATGACTTTACTCCGCACACACGCAATCACACAGTTGAAGAGATCAAACTTGCTGATTTGCCCACT